AGAGAGAGGGAGGCACAGAATCCGAAACAGGCTCCAGGCTCCGAGCCGTCAGCGCAGAGCCCGACGCGGGGCTCGAACTCACGGACCGCGAGATCGTGACCTGGCTGAAGTCGGCCGCTTAACCGACTGAGCCACCCAGGCGCCCCGACCCTTTCTTATTTTAGTGAGCCAAGTTCTGTACCTTAAGGTGAAGATTTCAGTATTTTCCAAGCACTGAATTACCTAAATACCAGAAGGGACAGAAGTTCTAATGTCACCGCCCCCATATTGCCCCTGAGGAAGGCTAGATGGCCTGATTCTCAATGAGCTCTTGAGAAACAGAACTTGGCCCAAACTTCTGGATGCCTGCAACCTCTCTGCACCTGTCCGGAAGTTAGGGACTGAATGCGAAATCCATCTTGGTTCGATTCTGGTGGGCTCCTGTCTCCCCTTCCAGCCCCGAAGCGTGTGCATACAGACTTCCAGGGGGACGGGAAGCTGAGGATGGGCTGCTACTGCCATCTGGTCTCCATGTAACAAAGCCTGTAACTGCATAATTATCCATGTGCAAATGGAGAAGTCCCTTGATGTTTGGGTAACCACATCCATGTCTTGAGTTTGTTATTTCTCGAAATTCCACTTAGCCGTCTCCTGCTTCCTCATGTACCGCACTGCACAAAGCCTGGCGGCCCTCCCTGGCAGCTGGGGCTGAAAGGCGGAAGGACGCCCTGCCATCATGGCATCCTGGCTTTGGCCTTTCTTCATGGGTTTTGGTTTTTGTTTAGCCGAGAAGACAGGAAATATGTCTTTGTGTATCTGGCTTTCCGTGCGCTCTGGAGATGGCCGTGGCGGTGGCTGTGTGGTCCCGCACAGCACTCGCTCTGTGAACCATCAAGGAAGCTTCTGTTTATTGCTCTTTTTGTGTTCTGATTGCTTCGGGAATTGCAGGGCTGTGACACTGCGAGTGGAGAATATTGAGGAATGTCATGCTTACTTTTTCTTTTCTCGCATTGGGACTCTTTTTAACAAATGACTTATTTAAGACTAAAAGGAAATCATCCGGGGGGAGGCATAGTTAAGGGAGTTCGTTCACACATGAAAACAATCCCGTACTCATTAGTGTTACGTGACCGGGGAAAACTCACGTGGCGTCAAAATCCTGCCCCTGCTCTGAGATCCTCGCCTGCGGCTTTCAGCTGCACAGCGCTGCTCTCTAGGACTTTGAGTTAATTAGAAACCGTGAACTCGTGGCTAAATCTAATTTAGGAGAATCGTCGTCAGCAACGATGCTACGCCCATGCAGGGGTGCAGCAGTCCTGCCGCGGTCCAGGTGAGGTTTCAGAGCTGATGGGAGGTACTGACAGCAAGTTAGGAGAACGGACACAGCGAGATGGGTTAAGTACCCGCAGCCGGGAAATGTGGCTAATTGCATGTTGCCCCCTGCTCCGCCCTCTCTGTCCTAAGATTTTAGGAGTCCCGGCTCAGTAGGAACAAGCTCATGCCGTGTCTGTCTGTGTCTCTGTGTGTCTGGGAAAGCGTGTGTCTCTCGTTTGTCCGTGTGACAGTGTTCATGTGGCTACCTGGGACCCGTACGTGGGTGCCACCTGTTGCGTGTGTACGTGACCATGCACTCGGGTCCCCTTTGCCCCCCTTTCCAAGCGGGAACAGAAGGACGTGTTCCTCGGTGGCAGGAAAGCCCACCCTAGTCCCCCCCTCCTCCAGCCAAAACCAGATCACATGGAAACTGGAGAAAGCCCCACGGGGGGTGGGGGGGGGTCAGGAGGGAGCAGCAGAATGCCTTGA